CCATCCGCCGTCCCCAGGAAGTGGAAGGACGGGGCGGGCAGGAGAAGAGGGAGGGAAGGAGGGGACGAGGGGCGGGAGCGGCGGGGAAAAAAACAGAAAGTGAAAACTGAACCGGAAAGACAGCGAGGGGCCGCCCGCGGGTTTTCCTGTTCCCGCGGTCACCGGCCCTTGGCTGCCCGTAGGCGGCTTTTCCTCTTCCGTGCCGGCCCTCGGCGCTGCTCGCTCGCTCCGAGCTCCTGCCGCGGCCATCGGTGTTTGTCCTTGGTGGGGACCTTGCCCCAGGCTTGCTCTGACCTCCTCCTCCATCGCCTCAGCCCCTCCATGCCTGACTTCAGCTCTTCCCGCTGTCGTCCCTCACATCATGGGGAGAGACTCCTTTCTTTCCTTCCCCCTCAGTGTTCTCCCTCTTTTGTGTCTCCCCCAGTTCCTCCCCGACCAGCTCAGTGATTGTTCGGCTCTTCCCGCTGCTCCTTCCCGCATTTTCCTGCTTTGAGCTCTCAGTTCCTTCCCCAGAGCCATGTTTTGGGCCTTCCTTCAGTCCCCAAACTCCTTTCCTTGTCCCCTCACATCATGGCCAGGGCTCCTTTTCTCACCTCGCTCTTCTCCCCTCAGTATTTTCCCTTAGTTCCTTGTTTAGGACCTTCCCTCGGTCCCATAACCCCATTTCCTCACCTTGAGTTCTTTTCCTCACTTCAGATCTTCCCCCTCAGTGTTTTCCCTCAGCTCCTTGTTTTGGGCCTTTCCTCAATCCCAAATTTCCTTATTCCCTCACACTTCGCACCATGGCCAGAGCACCTTCCCTCACCTCAGTCCTTCCCCCTCGGGATTTTTCAGGTGCAGAAAAACTTCCTTATTATTTATTTATCTTATTTTTCTGCTTAAACCTCAATTTCTGTGGGTGTGGGTGTGGGTGTAGCCTGGAGCCAACCTGTGAGGGGTTTGGAGTAGGGGAAGGCTCTGAGGGGAAAGGAGGTGAGGGAAGTGATTTAAGGAATGATGTGAGGGGTGAGGAAAAGAAGGAATGGGGGAAAAGGGAATGAGGAAAGATCCAAAAAGGTAAAAAATAATGGGGAAGGGGATGAGGGGATCAGGGAAGGGGTTTGGGGTAGATTGAGGCTCTGAGGGAGAAGGAGGTGAGGGAATGGATTTAAGGATGAGGGAAAGAGGGAATGAGGAGACTGAGGGAAGATCCAAAACGAGAAACTGAGGAAAACCATGGGGCCAGAAGAGATAAAAAATGAAGGGGAAGGGGCTGAGGGAAGGCCCTGAGGGGATCAGGGAAGGAATCTGGGGGGGATTGAGGGAAGGCTCTGAGGGGGAAGGAGGTGAGGGAAGGGATTTAAGGAATGGCGTGAGGGGTGAGGGAAAGAAGGAATGAGGAGACTGAGGGAAGATCCAAATTGAGAAACTGATGAAAACCTCGGGGCCAGAAGAAATAAAAAATGGTGGGGAAGGCCCTGAGGGGATCAGGGAAGGGATTTTGAGGGGATTGAAGGCTCTGAGGGGGAAGGAGGTGAGGGAAGGGGTTTAAAGAATTATGTGAGGGGTGAGGTAAAGAGGGAATGGGGGAAAAGGGACTGAGGAAAGATCCAAAAAGATAAAAAATGATGGGGAAGGGGCTGAGGGAAGGCCCTGAGGGGATCAGGGAAAGGATTTGGGGGGATTGAGGAAAGGCTCTGAGGGAGATGGAGGTGAGGGAAGGGATTTAAGGAATGATGTGAGGGGTGAGGGAAAGAGGGAATGAAGGAAGGGGGACTGAGGGAAGATCCAAAAAGATAAAAAATGATGGGGAAGGGGCTGAGGAGGGAAGGGGCTGAGGGGATCAGGGAAGGGATTTGGGGGGGATTGAGGGAAGGCTCTGGGGGGGATGGACTGAGTGAGGGAAGGGATTTAGGGAATGGTGTGAGGGGTGAGGGAAGGAAGGAATGAGGAGACTGAGAGAAATGAGAAACTGAGGAAAACCACAAGGCCAGAAGAGATAAAAAATGATGGGAAAAGGCCTTGAGGGAAGGGGCTGAGGGAAGAGCCAAAATGAGAAGCTGAGGGGCAAGGAGTGAGGTGAGGGAAGGGATTTAAGGAATGATGTGAGGGGTGAGGGAAAGAGGGAATGAAGGAAGGGGGACTGAGGGAAGATCCAAAAAGATAAAAAATGATGGGGAAGGGGCTGAGGTGAAGTCCCTTTCGCTGGTTCTGAGTCGTCTCATCCCAGTCCCAAACCCTACATGGAGCAGAAGAAACAGAAAATCATTTTTAGGGTTCACCAGAAACACCCAAAACACCTGAAAGGGTGAATGTTACAATCAATTTTGGAGCAGGGATATCTGGACTCACTCAACCTCTGACACAGGAGCTCGTAGGAGCTCCCTGTCCTAAGAGCTCCAGGTGCTGCTGCCCAGTGAAAAAAAATGAATTCAGAATGAATTTCTAAAATTAATTTGGAAGAAAAAGTGAATTTTTGGGGGGGCAGGACACCATATATAGCGAATTTCACAGCAAATTTTCCAGATCTGTGGGTTTTTCTAGTTCTTGCTGGCAGAGAAAAAGCTGGAATTCTTGCTGAGACGGAAGTACGTTCCTGATTGCCCTTTAAAGGGGGGAAAATCAACAGCCTCGAGCTAAGAGATGTGAGGAGATTCTGGGAAATCCCAAGAGCAGATCTGCAGTCAGAACATCCAAGTTTCCACCTCCAGTGGGATCATTCCCATCCCAGTATTCCCAGTAATCTCATCCCAGGAACCCCTGCACCCCATCCCAGTGTTCCCAGTTCCCCCATCCCAGTCCCCCCAGTAATCCCATCCCAGTGTCCCCAGTTCTCCCGTCCCAGTATCACCACCCCAGTCTCCCCAGTACCCCCATTCCAGTATCCCCATTATCCTCACCCCAGTATCCCCAGTTCCCCCATCCCAGTATCCCCAGTATCCCCATCCCAGTATCCCCAGTTCCCCCATTCCAGTTCCCTCATTCCAGTATCCCCACTATCCTCACCCCAGTATCCCCAGTATCCCCAGTATCCCCAGTATCCCCAGTATCCTCATCCCAGTATCCCCAGTTCCCCCATCCCAGTATCCCCAGTATCCCCATCCCAGTATCCCCAGTTCCCTTATCCAAGTATCCCCAGTTCCCCCATCCCAGTATCCCCTGTTCCCCCATCCCAGTATC